TGTCGCATATTCAGCCTGCAGGTTGTAAAGGTTAAAGGTTAAAACCGCTGTGCGTACCACCTTTATCTAATAGTTAAATGCTCTGCAAATACTAATTCCAGCGCTGATGCTAATGCCAAACATAAGTCTGAGGTGTACTGCAGCTCTGTTAAACATTGTGCCATTTCATATTCTGCACAAGTGCGGCTGCGATTAGCCAGTGTGCCATAAGCGCCCATTACATTTAAGTGTGTGAGTGAATGTGAATGGGAAAGTTTGATTTAGTGGCTAAAGCCATTATCACTGTGATGAATGAAATGGTCCCTGTGGAGCTTTTATACGCATGTAGTATCCTCTCTCTCTGTCTGTCAGACACACACACACACACACACACACACACACACACACACACACACACACACACATACACACACACACACACACACATCAGGCCAGTGAGCTGGTTTTAGCAGCTCCCCTGGTGATCTCTACATCTCTAATGAGATTATTGTAGTAATAGGAGAGTTGATAAACCCATTTCAGACGACCCATCCCTCCGGCCGGCCAGCCTGTCTGTCTGTCTGTCTGTCTGTCTGTCTGCCGGCCTGCCTGCCTGTCTGTCTGTCTGCCTGCCTGCCTGCCTGTCTGCCTGCCTGTCTGTGTGCCTGCCTGTCTGTCTGTCTGTCCACCCTCTCGACCCGGGACAGAGATAAGGAAGAAGAAACATGAGAGGAGGAGGAGGCAGTAGAAACAGAGAGGAGGGAGGTCGATGTGGGAGGCGTTATTATAAAAGGACAGAAACGAAATGAAATAAAGACAAGGCCTGTGAAAAGATGGATGAACAGGAAGTGACTGGGAGAGTGGCTGCTTAAAGGTCATGCGTATTACAGAGCCGTGTGCAGACACATGGACTCAGTTCCACTTTTCACTTCCTCTCCTTTATCCTACATCTCCAACCATCATTCTCTCTCCACTGCCAGTTTCTCCTTTTGTACTTGCGGTCGTCATCTTTTTTTTTTCCCTCCCTCACTCGCTCTTTCTCCCTCTATCTCTCTCCATCAGCTTCAAAGAGCTGTCTCCGTGGCAGACCTCGAGGGCACCTGCCTCTTGAGGTGGAATAAAATCATCCGTCCCTATAGTGCCTTTGTGTGTGTGTGTGTGTGTGTGTGTGTGTGTGTGTGTGTGTGTGTGTGTGTAGCTGGTACAGACTCCTCTGAAGTGAACTGAAGCCCTAGGCAGCGCTACAGCAAACAAACAAAACCAATAAACAAGCAGGTGAACCTGGACCACAGGGTCATTTCTGCTCCTGAGTTTACTCTCTAAATGAGATTATATTACAGTGTTGTTGGTGACCTTTACAGCCCAAATCAAATTTGTGTACATGTGTGTGTGTGTGTGTGTGTTCCTGTCTATCTCTGCATGGCTGCTCAGTGTGTCAGTCTGCCATTGTGTGTTTATGTCTCTGCATGTTTGCATCTGTGTGTGTGTGTGTGTGTGTGTGTGTGTAGGTGTTCGATGAGTGCATTCGGGAATCTGCCACCTCTGGAGGCGTGTGCTGGCTTCTCAACAGCACGGAGTGAGATTGGATTAGAGGCGCTGTGTGTAAATCAAACAGAAGCAAGATGTTGGTTTAACAGAGTGAGTGACCTTCGTGAGGAGAGGAGAGAGAGTTCCCACCCAATTAAGTTATCGATTATATTCAAATTAGTATAAAAATAGACAGGAACATTTGTGTTCTGTCTACCACAACTTTAAAAGTAATGTAATATGATACTTTGGGATATTTACTTATTCACGTTCTTGCTGAGAATTAGATTATAAAATTGATGCTAAATATGAAGCTACCTCCATTAGTTAGCATAGCTTAGCATAAAGACCAGAAACAACTAGCCTGGCTTTGACCGAAGTTGGTGTAATGACATCATGGAGTTTATAACCATGCGGTAAACTAATGAAAACAGCCGAAAATTTTATGTTGGAAGAAATGAAGAAGAAGAAGTCGCCCAACAGTCTGTAATGGATTTCACATGACAATATTCGCAAGAATACTTTTATGTGAAATGCCTTTGATTCTTTTAATTGGTGGACCCTTACGGGCTTAAGGAATATAAATAATTGAGGAATAGATAGACAATTGGACTCATCGACTGCTTCAAAGGTAGGGAGCTGTTGTTTTATCAGTGGTCCTTCAACATAGTTTATCAAAGTACAAGAGTTTCCACAGTCAAAATACATGAAACCGGGACTGTGCCCCTTTTTGATTTCATGGATAAAAACATTGGATATTTTAATGATATATTGACCTCTGAACTGGAAATGTCCCAGTTTTTCATTTCAGAAATCTAGTCACCTTGTTGTAAACTCACAAAATGTTGCACAAAAATAGCTGTCTAGCTCATATATAATGAATGATCATTTATGATTTAATGGAAAAACCGCAGAAGTTCTCCCATTAGCCACTGGATGAAAAACGTATCGTCTCGTCTTGCAAATGTGAATTTAAGGACTTAGTGAAGAAATGGTGCCTGTTTTTATAATATATAGAAATATACAGTAAATCAAGACTGATCAAATGTATGAATGATTTTCTGTTCTATATGAACTAGTATAAAAATAAAATGCTCGGGAAAATAAACACAAGTTGCAGGCCGTAAAACGAAAACAATGAGCTGCAAGACACTAAAAAGCTCGATAGAGCTGTGGGAGATTCTCTGTGGATTTGTCACCACTAAAATATCTATTACAGCCATTTCATATTATATTCAGTGTCAAAGTTATAGATCTGTAATAAAAGCCTTTAAAAGCTTTTATTAACAGCTATAAAAGAGGACATTTTCTGTTTAATGTAGCGTTATCTAAGAGACTTGGTGGAGATCATTTTTCAAAACAGTAACCATAGTTTTGATTGTAATTAAACTTACTTTAAAGCCCAATACCAAAACAGAAGACACATCTCTCCACAGAATATATGCTTACAATTATTATTATTTCATCCATACAGGACAGACAAAAAGAAAGAAAAGAAAAGGAAGAGAAGAGAAGAGAAGAGAAGAGAAGAGAAGAGAAGAGAAGAGAAGAGAAGAGAAGAGAAGAGACATTTGGGTCAACATGCAGTAAAGAGAACTGAATCATCAACATCAAAGACTAAACCTGGTGAAGATTCATCCATGTTCAACACACACACACACACACACACACACACACACACACACACACACACACACACACAATATTCATGAAGCCACCTACAGGAAAGAGAGGGAGAGAGAAAGATAAAGGGAGGAGAAGCGTAGTGGGTGTTGGACATCTGTATGAGTCCTCAATCTAATGAAAGTCATTAGAGGGAAGCAGGAAAATCTGTCTAATAAAGGAAAGAGGTTGCTACTCAGTCTTGGACGAAGGCCAAAATCACTAATACACACCCTAATTCACTCAGTGTGTGTGTGTGTGTGTGTGTGTGTGAGAGAGAGAGAGAGAGAGAGAGAGAGAGAGATGAGATAGAGGGGAGTGTATTGATCGGTGGGTGTGTTCAGTGGGGACCTGATCTACCACAGCACCACCTCTGCCACTCACTCTCTCTCTCTCTCTCTCACACACACACACACACACACACACACACACACACACACACACACACACACACACACACACACACACACACACACACACACACACACACACACAAACACCAGTCTGAATAAGATCTAAACTATATCTTCAGGTGCATTATTGATACCATGACTACTCGGCTGCAGGAGACACCGGTGGAGTAAACCCTTCAAAATACTCAACATCTGACACCCACTCTCTCCTTTAAAAGTGCAACAAAGAAAACTGAGGAATCAGAACATGATATATTTCCTGTCTTATTCTAACACTTAAGAACAATCATTATTATATATTTATGCCATTCATTTATGAGGCACAGATTAAATATGCAAATATGCATTCTGCTCTGACTGTTCTACTTCCTTCTTGGAAAGATCTATATAATGGATACTAAGTGATACCTAAGATAAAGTCTTATAAATTATATTGTGATACTGATGCATGAATGCAAAACTTATTCTGATATAGTGATAATTTTCTGTGAAAACTGAACTGAAAAAAAGAAATTGAAAGCTGTGTAAACAAAAGTTTACATTAAGGCAGTGGACCCCTTAATATTAAGCAATACCCCTGTGCAAACCATCATTTTCACGATTCAAAATTCAAAGATATTCAGTTTGTATTAATGTGCGGCAAAGAAAGTAAAGAAATCTTTACATTTCAGAGATAGGGACGTCTGAAGAAGTAACATTATTCAGTAATTCACAAGAAAAAAAGCAGAGATTAAAGGAACATCTGACAAAAATACATCAAATTTTGTGCAGTAAATGTCCTTTCTTTTATGCTTCCATGTCCTGTTTGTCTCACGACCCCTAATAATTACCCTTTAACCTCTTTGGGGTGTTTGGGAACAATGTGTTAAAGCATTTAGAAACAAACAAATGAAAAACAATGTAGAGCACCAGAAACAAGTTTCTTCTCAGAAACTAAAGAAGAGATCAGTTATTCAGTATAAAGCATTTCTAAACAGAAAGTAAAGGATCATAAAAATATTTTTTTAATTAACGTCACATAATTATTGTCTAGAGAGCTCCCACATAACTAATCATTCCTCCTCTTTTTCATGATTCACCAAATCCATACGTCACAAAAACAATAAATGGTCCCCAAACATTTTCTAATTTATCTTGTTTTCCTTTCAATATACAAATGATATTTTTAGTGTTTGCCCAGACCCACTGTTTAATATTTGGTTTGTTAGTCTTTTGGCTTACAGAAAACAAAGATCATTCATTATTTGCAGATAAAGTTTTTTTCTAGAAAATCCCCATTTAAAAAACCATAGAATCCACTAAAATATTTTTTTTAGAAATAAAAGCTGTTAATCCTTTTCGTCTTATCATTAGAGTCTGGTTTGGTTTCTTCTGCTGCCCTCTGGTGGATAGATTAAAAGATTACACCTTCTCCCATGATGCATCTCTCGTTTTATTCCCATCAGCCTTTGCTGCGAACTCCCTGCACCAGTCAAGATGGCGGACAGACCAGGTAATGCATCGTGTCCTCTGCTAAAATAATCACTAAGTGTCTCTGTTCTGGGTTTTGTCGTCGGTTTTTATTCGTGTTTCTGGAGCCTGCGAGTGTTTTCCCGTCAGACCGACCGTTAGTGAGTCCGCTGAAGGCGTCGGTCTGACCGAAGGCCGCGCTCGATCCTCCGAGTCACGTCAAGGACTTTGCGTGTCATTGGCAAACTTGCAGTTAAAAATGAGTCTTTTGGACCGTTAACTGTCGTGTTTAGTGACCAGAAACTTTGAATTTAACTCGCAGTTTGATTGAATGTATTATAATGATGTTGATGCACATTTAAATTGTGTAACCGTTTCTTTTGGCTAGCTTGCACGGTAGCCTGGAAACCCGGTGTGAACCCCAAAACTCTGATGTTTTTCTTCGGTTAATTTTAATCCTAAAACACAAATTTACCGTAAAAATAAACAACGAAAGGCTTTGATTTGCTTCATAATGCCATTTAAACGGCGGGTAAATAACACTTCATTCATTATAGGTGTGGTTTAGATGCATACACCTGGTAAATGTCAAATGTGGTCCTACAGTGTAAAATTGGTTCCAAAGGTGGAAAGTTTAAAAAGCAGATTTTAATGAGTCTTCGTGTATTTCATTGTAAATTAATCAGTATTAGTATTATATTTGGAGACTGAATACTTTTGCTTTACTACTTTACAAATGACGAAGTCGTTGACTTCTTTAGAAGAATTAATCGTTGTAACCAGGATTCTTGTCGGCATCAGTGAGTCTGCCAGTTATTTGCCTTTAAAATGTCAGAAAACAGAGAAAAATACTCATCACAGTTTCTCAGAGTCCAAGGTGACACCCTCACATTGTGTTTTTTGTCTGAGCGAGAGTGCAAAACTGAACAGGTTTTCAGTTTGCTAACACATAAAACTAATGAAATCTTGAAATTTGAGATACTGAAACCAGCAATTGTTTGACATTCGTGCTTGAAAAATCATAACGAGCAACAGTTATTTGAATTTGTTGCTGATTTTAATATTCTGTTCAGCTCGCGCAGAAAATATTATTATTTTTTACCTGCAAACATGAGATAATTTCATAAGTTATTGTTATTATACATGACAACATGCAGAGTAGTTGCATAGTGTCACCTGGGTTACCTAAAATAAATAATGAGTAGTAGTGTTTCTTTTTCTGGACAAGCGGCTGTTGCTACAATAATTGATTTAGTTTTCAGTCAAAGAGGCAAAAATACACTGATAAGTTAATAAGTGAAAAATGAACTTTAAATAGTTTAGTCAGGCTTGAGAGTGTAATTGAAATGTTGTTGCTGTCTTTACTTGTGACCAGTTCCCTTAGCTGAGAAGCGGCTGATGGATGTGAAGCTGGGTGAGCTGGGAAGCTGGCTCGGAGGTCGCGACTTCACCCCCAACGGCATCATTTCAGCCTTCCGCAGGGGTGAGCTAACGTGTTCTGACTGATGCTTTGTGGAGGATCAAAAGTCCTTGACTCTGGGTTTTTGTTTTGTTTTGTTTTGTTTTTTTTAGCCACTACAAAGATTTAAATTGCTCAAATCTTTGGTTGGAAAAGTGACTAAATTTAATTTCGGCCGCAGAAACAAAATATTCAGGGAACATATAGTGAGTTGTACTTTCATTCTCATCAGCATTCACATCATTTGTTCCCTGCTGCCATTTTGCAACTGTTCTGAAAGGTTCAAGGGCAGATTAGGAGCCATATTCACACAAGGACTCCTAGTTCACAATGTATTATAGGACTAGAAGTAGATCCTTTAAGTCTGAGGGAAGTCAGACGCAGTCCAGAGGTCTCCTGAGTCATTAAGACCTGCTTGCAATAGTTCAATTCTGTAGCTAATTATTGCATCTGTGTTTTGGAAGTCTGCAATAAAATTTAATTTTTAAATGCTTATTTTGATGACAGACCAGTTGATAGGGATCCAATCAGTTCTCCAACAGTAACGATCCAGTATTGCAGAAATGCAGTTCGGTGATGAACTTGAAACCACAGCTGAAATATTATTAGACCCTACTTTTAAAAAAAAAGAAAACTTTATAATGCGTACATTATTAATTAATCACCAACTTTAAAAAGAAAACAAAATCTGTTAAGGTTAAGGAAATCTATGAGTGTTTCCTGTGCTGCATTCACAATCACTGACACAGACCAGTCACCTGTCAATCATTGATAATGTGGATGTTTGAGCGACTTCATTCATAAAACATGATGTCTTGGCAGGAGAAGATTTTGTGTGAATACAACCTCAACTCCCAGTTTATCAAAGGATTCAAACCAGTGAATTTTTAATCACGAGCAAAGATAACAGCTTTCTTTCTCCCATCCGTTTCCCCTTTTACCATGTTAACTCACATGTTGTTAAAGTCATTCCATGTGGTAGCTCACCTGTGGTTTATGCTGTTTTCTTTTGTTTGGTCTCCTTCTCATCCAGGCCATGACAGATACTACAACAAGTACATCAATGTGAGGAAGGGAGGCATCGGTGGTGTGGCCATGCTGCTGGCTGGCTACGTGGCCCTCAGCTACCTGTGGGAATACGACCACATCAGTAAGAAATGCATACACTTACTTTACTATTTAAGATGTTCTACCTTTTGCTAAAATTGTTTGCACATCAGTGATGGAAGAAACTTTTAAAACTGAGCTTTTAACATCTGTCTACCGTTTTCTCCGTCCCTCCTTTCCAGAACACGATCGCTGGAGGAAGTACCACTGAGCTCCTTCAGCAGCCATCAGACCTCCAGGGGTTGAACATGGATCTCTCTGCTCCCCCTGCTCTTTCTATCCTCAGCTCTGTTGTGTTAATATATGACTGTTGTGACCAATAAACAATATAAAGATTCATACGTTGTGCATCATGTTTGGGTGTCTAGTCACAAATTCTCAACTATCAGTTACTCCATGTGATAACACTTTAGAACCAGTGACATGAATGCAAGTAAAACAGGTAAATCTGTAACAAGAACATTTATTTGCACACACTGTACAGATTGTAAGAATATGTTCAGACTGTGTCACTGACTATCAACAATGAAACTTATCCTCAGACACAATTTGAGCTGAGCACCGCAAACTTGAACTTTCTGTTAATGTCTGATCAGATCTAGAAACACAGAGCCTCTGCGTTTAATGGTAAATAATGTCCAAGATTGTAAATGAAGAAACAAATATGCAGTTATGGTTGAAAAGTAAATTGTGTGTGTGGGATAGGTTTCAGGTAGTGATGCAGGGGGCTCCATTTATCACATTTCTGTTTCTTTTATTAACATCGTCAGACAGATTTACTAGAAGTTGCGGGCTCAAATCGCTGGTCTGTTTTCACAGATACAGTCACGTGACCTGAGGAAACAACATGTTACAGCGCTGCACCTCCGTGGGGACGGTTGCTGCAGACTGGACCCTGGGTGTGTCTATTTAAACGCCTATTTCTCCAGAGTCGTGTGAAGTCGTTCAGACGTGACCGCAGTGTCTTTTCTGTTTGTCATTTTCATGTATCCCGTTTGGAAGAGGCAAAAAAAAAAGTCTGTAAGTTGAACTTCAGCCTGTGGAACAGAGGGTACGTCCTCTCGTCTCCTCGGGGCGGCAACCTGCAGCGCTGTGGCGTTTGGACCGTGAGGCTGAAGGTTACTGTCCGCTCAGGAAGGCAAGATGGCCTTTGGTGCATTTGTTGGCATAGTGGCCTTTCTCGCCACACTGCAGACACAGGGAAGACAAAAGGATGAAGATATTAAAAGGAGAGAAAGCTGGATAATAATTATGTATTCATGATCAGGACTTAATTATTAAAAATGTAATTTCTGCCAGTCGACGATTTCAGTTTTTTCCACAAATAAACAAGATCTGGTTTATTTTAGCTGCAGTACGATTAGCGTGGTGTATCTGCTTTACATTAAAAACTAAATAATCATTCTAGTATGTGACAGTGTGTGACATGTATGTTTTTAGTCATGTAACCTAAGTTCATGTAAGCTACAAGCCTCGTCCTTTTCAGCTTTCACCACACTGCACAGGGAAACAGTAAATGGCATTTGGCAGCAACAATAACTCAGAATATGTTTCTGGGAATAGAAAGTGAAGCAAAAAATAGAAAAAAACAATCTACTGATTGTGCAAGAGTCTCCAATAAATAGTAAAAAAAAATGTTTTTTCTGATTTTTACACAAATCTTTGTAGTGTGGATATTTTTGTTGAATGTTCGTGCATTTTTAAATTCAAAATAAACAGAAATTCACACCTTAAAAAAAATTAAAGTAGTAATGAGCCGCTTTATGCTAAGTTGAAGACGTAACCTTCAGTTTGTATTCACTTGTATCAAAGCAGCAACAGTCAGATAGAAACAACGCTGCACTACTAAAGGAATAGTTCAACAAATAAAGTGCCAACCAGAAGCAAATAAATCTATTTTCCAAAATGTCACACTCCTGCAGCAGCAGCCAGCCTTGATATTTAGAGATCGGTGTCAAGAAAGGATTTTGAGCAGACGAGGCCACATTAGCAGACAGATGTTCAGATCACTCACCTTGTAGCAGGTGACCTGGTCCAGTGGACGAGGCCCTCTGTTGGCGGACATGTTATTTTGCTGAACAGCACCCGGCACCATGTTGTTCTGCGGCCGCTGGCCTGAACTGGAGTTGGTCAGCTGGATTAGAGAGAGCGACGAGCGGCCGATGGTCGGCACAGGCTGCAGCAGGACACAAGAAACACTGTTAAGTGGCAGGTATATGACACGCAGCGGTGCACTGAGGTCAAGGCTTGTTTGATTTCGACCACACACTCATCAATGAATGAAATGAATCTACACAGTTATTGTTTATAGAGCCAGATGTGGGTGTTGGTGCTTGTATCCTCTCACCTTTGTCTGGTTCTGGGTTTGCTGTGGCAGAGGAGGCTGTTCAGACGCTCCCATGGGCAACTCAAAACGAGGGCTGCAAAAGAACATCTCACTGTTACATCTCTGTATCTGAAGGCTGAAGTTTATCTATGAATATTTTACTAAATTACATAATTGATCATCATCATTAAGGTAAAAAGAGAAGCATCATGTAGGAATCAAATAAAAAGGATAACATACTGCATGAATTTACAGGATTTTCCTTCTGGACAGAAGCCCACCAGGTAGTTCACACAGATCACCCTTCTTGTGTGTCTGTGTCTGCAGTCGGGACCTGAGATGGGAAGATGAACAGAAATCAAATCACACAGATGCACAACAGAACGTAGAGAGACTGTTTTGATGCTGATGAAGACGTTCAAACCAGCGGGTTAGACCGTGTATAAACAGAGGATTCTGGGACCTACCATGTTTGCAGAAGCCTCTGTCGTACCAAGGACAGTCTTTGATCTTGGACTCTGGATCAATGTGCAAGAATGGACATTCCTTGTTGCTACACTCACCTGCGAGGGTCAACACACAAAGGAAAACAGAGACAACAGGATGAAATTATTAACCTGCACAGCAGAAAGGAGGAAGGAATACACTCTAGGCATTTTAACAAGCGGATGCTGATCAACAGTCATAAGGCAAATACAGTCATTGAGCTCATCTGTGCAATTGTGAAAAGTAAACGAACCAAACTTGGAGTAGAAGTAGCATTCAGGCATCTTGGTCATGTCGTATTCATGGAGAAACTCGCACTGGTCTCCCTTCTTACACAGTCCTCGGAGCCAGTGCTTACACACCACCGTCTTCTCCCCACTGATGTGACGGAACGGACACATGCCGCCTGAGAGTGGAAACAAAAAACCATCAACAGAGACATCTGCAGCAAGTGTCCTGATTAATTCCCGCTGGACAGTCTTGCTAATTGCTAATCTCTTTTCTTTTTTTTTTAAGTGTGTCGCTCAGATCAACTGCCAGGTTACAAGAGAATGAAGCATTTTATACTTTTCCATACATAGATCTGAGGAGCTTGACTTACCAGCATTTTTTGTATGCATCTATTAAGATGTTTAAAAAAGAAATTAAATTACTTTTTGTTAATTTTCAATTACAATTGCCTGGAACCATTCCTTCCACTTATTGTCAATAAAGTATTGTGTTGAATTATTTGTTGCATATCATCAGTAGAGCTCAGCTTATTTTTAACCATGAGAATGATACTTGACATGTTCCCCTGACGTGTGTGTTTACCTGGCAGGGAGGCTCTGATGAAAAGATGGTAATAGTTGTGTTATGAGTAATTTAAACTAGGATGCCTGAGGTCACAGATTGACTCATACTAGACACTGAACGCATCTTTGCTGCTTCAATTTTGAACATTATTGGAAATCTGTATCTTGTGAGTCTCCCACTTTTATGGAAGTAAAACACAAAATTGCTGGAGTATCCCTTTAAAAGAGTCATTTCTCATCCCACTGATTTCTCACTGTCACTCAGATTTATTTAGTTATTCTCATTATGTGTGACACTACATAAGGTGCAGCACAACTTCATCCAGAGCAAAGAGCCCCACAGGTGTGGAAGTGTTGTCATGTGTTTTTACCTTTCAGACAAGCTGCTCTCATGAAGAACTCACACACAGCAGAACCGGATTCTGCAGGAAGACATATTACAACTTAAAAGAAAGACAAGAGACTGAGGACACACAAGGCTGACACAAACAGAGCCACAGCCGTTATAGTTTACCTACAGCGGCTAAACACAAGCTAGCACCCCAGCACTTACTGTCCATGCCGGGAAAGGGCAGCGGCTGAGCTCCTAGCTGCTGCTCCACAGCGATCTCCAGGTCGAACTTGATGTGGTCCACGTTAGCCAGTAGGTCCTGCATGTCTGCACGCGTTTGTTTGCTGCACCGCGGTCCGAGAAATGTCCGTTTCTGTTAGCTAGTTTAAAAGTTTAGCTAGTTAGCTAGTGACTTCTTCATCAGCCAGCTAAAGTGGCTAACGAGGCTAGCCGGGCTAACCGATACTCGAACAACAATCAGCGAGCTCCCCGGCGAGAAACCGCAGTAGCTGCTGTTCCTTTGTAGCTTTACGGTGCTGTTTTGAAGAAACACCGTGGACACTGGTCTGTGTGTAACTTCTTGTTTGTCACGGAACTGTTCTCTGTTCTCCACAGTTAGTGTGAGGCGCGCAGACTGACCTCTGACCTCTAACCTGACGTCACAAGGCTCGACCAAACGATCACCGAGAGGTTTGCTTCACACTCACATATACAGTAGACCGAGATTTATCCTTGTAATGACCTCTTACACCAAAAATTTAACGTACATTTTAAAAGTTGTACTTTCTGCAATTCAAATATTGAGACCATAGAACATCTCTTTGTTTATTGTAATTTAATCAGGACATTTTGGGAAGCTTTTCAGTGTTAGATAACATGCAATAATCAAACTGTTCTAACTCTAACATAAAAATATAAAATTTGGTCTCCAAATGGAAAACAAAAAAAATGGCGCTTGGGAATAATTATATAAGTGTCAGCAAAATACTTTATACATAAATGTCGTTTCTTAAAAACCACAACCACTATTTGATGCCTATTTTAATGAAATATTATTTTAAAAATGTGAAATGCTGTTATATTAAAAAAGTCCAACATCTGTATGAATATCTATGCACTTTAATACCTGACTGACTGACTTTATTTTATATAATGATACATCATNTAAGTGTTAGCAAAATACTTTATCCATAAATGTCGTTTCTTAAAAACCACAACCAATATTTGATGCCTATTTTAATATTATTTTAAAAATGTGAAATGCTGTTATATTAAAAAAGTCCAACATCTGTATGAATATCTATGCACTTTAATACCTGACTGACTGACTTTATTTTATATAATGATACATCATTGGAGCCCAGGAGATGGCATGAAATAAATAAATAAATAAATAAATTGTGCGCACAATTTAGTAAACCACTCCCTGAAATGAATAAATTGCTCTTCATTTAGCATAAAACCTAATGTACCTCCATGCCATGATTCTTATTTAGTCTCTTCTTCACTTAAGCTGCAACCGAGGAATATTTTTTACAATAGATTCATTTGCCAATTTTTTTTTTTTTTTTTCAATTGTTTGGTGATAAAACATCAGAAAACCGTGAAATATGTCCATCACAGTTTCCCATAGTGATGTCATCTGATTTGATATTGATCTCATTATAATGTAAGACAGGAAAAAGCATCAAACTCTCACATCTGAGAAGCTCAAGTCTGAGAAGGTGACTAATTGTTGAAGCTCCATTATTTTCACTCATGCTTGGATTTAATGCTGTTTTATTTTGATCTTAGACTGAGATATGTGTCTGTACTTTGGGTTCTGGCTGTTCAACACAGTGTTGTCCTTGACCTCACTTAACTGTTTTCCACAGGACAACGGACTGTCACCATAAAAACTTTGATGGTACTGCAGATGTCACCCAGGTCATAAACACTCAGCTTCAACTTGGGATTTGATTTCTGCTGTTGGTTGAAATGTTCGGGGCCAGTAATTGGCAAACATTTCTGTAAGCTGCCCTGTGTAATGTTTGCTTCAGCCATTTTGAAATGTTTTCTGTCCTGACCGGACAGCAAATTATCATAAAATTTGACTAACACACTTTAATTAGCCTCCATAGTGGCTGTATTAAATAAATAAGACTTAATGAAATAAATATTATAGACCTGCTTTATAATCAAACAACACATGGATCTACCTTCATACTATATGGGACCTTTAAAAGTTTTTAAAATTGATCATGCAGACTCTTATTTCATTCATTATTGTTAATTTAATAACATGTAACAAAAGTTGTTTTATAATCCATCAAATTTTTTTGTACATGTCTAGTTTATGACATAGGATGCTCGTGTATGAAACTAGTAGTCATGTTTTGTGCTAGCAGTACTTTCTGCTAGAAAACTTTGGAATTTTAAATGTAATACAAAAGAAATGGAGATTTCTGACAGGATTAAAGCTTAAATGTAAATGTAACCGAGACTGGAGCTACAGTGGGAGACAAAATAAACACCTAAAAACAGCAAAGGCACTGTAGCAATACTGAATAATTAAGACAAGTCTGTTTCAAACTGTGGTATAAGGTGTGTGTCCATGCCTGCTGTGAAGTCATAAGAACTGTCTTGATTTGAGGAGTGATACATTCAACAGTTATACGCTCAAATATACATATGAAACAACACACCATCAAAATTGGCATGATAATGTTTGTTGTAATCATCCGTCCAGCAGCCCTCAATGTTTACAGCTCAGGTAGGCCAGGCATGGGGAACTGGCCGGCGAAAGCCTCCACCTCAGCCCTGATCTCCGCCACTCGCTGCTGGAACTTCTCTCCCTGCGACAGTGCCTGAATGAACTCCTTCAGAGTGGCCTTAGGATCCAGGCTCCTCTGCACCTCCAAGGCCAGCTGAATACCTGCAGGGGGAAAGGAGAGTGGGGACTGCAATTTCATTTCTGAAAAATCATGTTTGTTTAATCCCCAGCTCAAATACATCTCTCAGAAAATGTCTTGGCTTGAAAAATGGCTTTTACCTCTGTGAATAAACTCCGCCACCTTCCTGAAATCATCCTCCATCAAGCCTCTGGAGGTCAGAGCTGGAGAGCCAAACCTTAGACCACTAGGGCGCAAAGCACTCTTATCCCCTATGTAAAGACGAATGGGAAGAATTACAGTGATTATGAACGTCTACATCTCAAGCTAAATTCAGAGTCAAAGGATAGAGTCTTTTCCTAGAGAGTACACACACAAATGGCTACACTATCATGCAAACAACGCTGTATGCATCATTGCATACGAGTGCTAACACACACACACACACACACACACACACACTACCTGGACAGGTGTTCTTATTGCAAGCAATGGCACAGGCTTCCAGAACCTTCTCAGCTCGTCCTCCGTCAGTTCCCTTGCTGCGCAGGTCCAGCAGGATCAGATGGTTGTCAGAGCCGCCTACACAGGAAGAGATGATATTACATAGACCATAAAGCTCTAAGGTGCTTTCACAGACGACTTTTCAACTATACCTATAATTTTTTCTCCAAGGTGACTGCAATGTACAATGGCAACTGACACAGAAGATAAATTTGAATTAAATTTAGAGGCACTGTGTCTCTTACCAGTGACGATCTTGTAGTCGTGGTCAATAAGGGCACTGGACAGAGCTTTGCAGTTAGCAAGAACCTGAATCTGGTAGGCCTTGAACTCCGGTGTCATGGCTTGTTTGAGAGCTACAGCAACACCTGAGGACATCCAGCCACAGACAGACATAAGATCGATGCCGACATGCTGCAGTGGCTGTTAAAATAAAACTGATGAACAAAGGCAAAAGGGAGGAAAATGATGATAGAGGGGTACCTGCAATAGCGTGGTTGTGTGGTCCTCCCTGCAGCCCAGGAAACACAGCCTGATTGATCAAAGACTCCAAGTTGTACATGGTCTCTTTCCCCTTGGCGTCCACACTCCGCACACCTGGAGGAATAAAACAGAGACAGAGGCGAGAAAAATGCAAAATTACATAAATGACAGAACACCAATTCAGACAAAAAAATAAAAATACTGATGACAAATAAAAATTTAAAAAACAAGTGGTTTGTTTGGACACAAGCGTCATATTCCAGTTCTACCTTTCCTGTAGAAGATAAGTCCAGCGCGGCAGCCACGCAGCGTCTTGTGCGTTGTCGTGGAAACAATGTCACAGTACTCAAAGGGTGTCGGCACCACGTCAGCAGCCACCAAACCACTGATGTGAGCCATGTCTCCCATCAGATATGCACCGTTCTCGTTAGCGATCTGCTTCAAGCGGGCGTAGTCAAGGTTGCGGGAATAGCAGCTTGTTCCTGGAGAAGAAAACGACGAAGATGTTTTTTTATTTTATTTATGTTTGAATTACTGCAATATTAAACTGTGTGTGTGTGTGTGTGTGTGTGTGTGTGTGTGTGTGTGTACACACTAAAGGAAAGGACCTGCAATGATGAGTTTGGGGTGGAACAGTCGTGCATTTTCTTGCAGTCTGTCATAGTCAATGTAGCCGGTCTCTGGATTCACCTAGAGACAGTAGAAACAGGAAACGATGTCATAGCACATCAACATAACAATTACACCCTAACAGCTACATGTGATACACACAATACAAGCACAACACTAAATATTAAAAGAATTGTACTTCAGCTATAGGGTTGTTGGACTGAATCAACCTGAAACCACTTTGAATAAAAATGTCTTTGTTCTATCAAGTTTTGGAATTTCAGTTTTCTCCTTTATTGTAGATGTGCTCTGTAAAATTAACATTTGCTGTGCACTCTATATTTTTTGTATATTATATAAACAAACTTTGTTTACATTTGGGTAAATCTAATATGTAAATTGACATATTTATTATGCACTCTACAAATTTGTGTACATTATGTTCATCCGTTTAAATTAAACATAAATATTCTTGAGAGAAGTCCAACTATTCTCAGTCTGTGCTGCTACCATCGCCTTGATTAACCAATGATTACAGTATGTTATCTCTAGCAGTGCACAGTTATTGTTCACATCTTTGGAAAATATGTCCCCAACTTGTACATAGATTCCTGGACGAGTGTGTGTTGACAAAGCGCGTATGATTGCTTTGTACCTTGTACGGCATCGACTCAAAGAAGATGGATGTTGCTGAGATTTTCTTCTTCTCAGTCATGAAGCCGTGTGTCAAGTGACCTCCATCAGGAAGGTCCAGTCCCATGATCCTGCCGTGGGGCTCCACAACGGCCGTATAGACGGCAAAGTTAGCAGGCGAACCTTACAGAGAAGCATCAACAACAGTGTGACAAGTCAGAGAGAGAAACAAGGACGATGATGATGATGATGAAAGGACACAGAAGTCAAAATACTGACTCACTTTTAAATGTTAAAATCAGTATATATGTGATACCTGAGTATGGCTGCACGTTGACACCCCATTTCTCTGAGTCCAGCCCATAGACCTCCAGCGCCCTTTTCTGACAGAGTCTCTCCAGCTCATCAACATGCTCTGTCCCACCATAGTACCTGGACACAGAGATCATACTCATTATTATTACCACCATACTTTTTACACTTGTTTTTTTTGTTTTTTTTTACATTCATTACTAAATGTGTAGGGTTTAGGGGTATTTACTAAATAATTTGACAAACTTGATGAATTCTTGTACCTCTGTCCAGGATATCCCTCCGAGTACTTGTTGTTCATACAGGAACCCAGAGCCTCGAGAACAGCTCTGCTGGCAAAGTTCTCTGACGCTATCAGCTCCAGACCGTACGTCTGCCTGTGCTTCTCTTTTTTTATGATGGAAAACACCTGAAACACAAACAAACAAATACTGTCGTTTCAGGGTAAAGGAGCAATTTGCACACAAGCTCTTTGGTGAAAGAAAATGCATTGGCTAGTTAGACTAAATAATAGTGAAAGTAATCATCAGTTGAAGCTTTAAAAGTCCTTTAAGCTACATTTTTTAAAAAGGGGTTGTTGTACAGTATACAGATGTGAACTACCTTTAAAATCCAATAAACACAAACCTCAGAGTCGTTGATGACCAGAGGCTCCAGCATCATCTTGTTGTGAGCGTCCCATGTGTCTTTGCTCACACTGTGGCCGTTTGTTACAGACATGGTCGTTGATTCTCTGGTCACACAAATTGGAGATCTGAAAAAACATCCATTATTGAGAGATTAGATAAGAATCGCAGAGTAATAAAAAAAAAAGATAAAAAGCAATTTTACAATCATAGAAGATGATATGATTGGTGTGTAAAAAGTATAAAGTGAGTGCTGCTAACAAACAGATCCATTATTATAGTCCAAAAGCCTCAGACAAAGAGGGGGGGGGCACATGTACCACCACCAGTAACTGTGTCGCAACTCCTCAGCCATGGCGTGACATGTCCCCATCAGTTAAACTTTGAACCATTACACAGACATGACTCCAGGTTATTTGGTAACTCAGATAACATGCTCACTGCTCCGTGATGTTTACAGCTGCCAAATCTTTGTCTGAAGCCGCTGCTGTCTACAAAGTGAAGTCACTGCAGGACAGAGCTCGAGCAGCTAGCAGAGCCGAGCACATGACATTTATTACTGTTATTGTCTGCTCTGCTCGACTGACCCATTAAGTTTTCAGCGACGGGGGGGGGGTTTGGGCAGAAAACAGTTTAAAATGGACGTGTCTGATAAACTTTTAGCAAGGTGAACTTTAAAAGAATGAAACTTTATCTGCAACGGTAAAATATTCACGTGTAAAAAAGTAATAACAACGTCTTCGCTAGCTAGTTTTTTTTTTTTTTGTCCGGAAGACTTCCTTCATGTACGTGCTGCCGTTGCAACACCGCGGGAAAACAAACAAATAAGACGTTTTAAAAGCAAGCTTTAACTTGTGTTCAAACCCCGGTTCCAGTTACCAACACAAATATTAAACAAATAGTTTCCATTGTGTGTATTTTTCTTTTTTTATTTGTTCGTTCCCACTAAACATGAACAGATTAACTCACCCGTGGAGAACAGACTCCTGCGGCTGTCAGAGGTGAAGCTGAGTTGAAACCAGACCCCGGGGCTTCATCGTAAAACTTCCTCCTCCCGAGGAGAAAGTCCGCCAAACTTTCCACCAATCAACGCTTTGCTGCTTCTTTTCTTCCTTTGATTTGATTGGCGGTTGGCAACAAGCTTTCAGACTTATTACCGCCACCTACCGGAACTGGAGTGTGGAACATTAGAATAAAGGAAAGGAAAACAAAAAATAAATAAATAAAAAACTTATGGCATGTTGAACTATTAGTCTCTTCTGTTGAACTAGAGCCTTCGTTAGTCATATAGGGATGTAGTTTTATAGATAAAAAAATGCAATAATACATTTTAAAGAACCACCCTCACTTCTATTTGTTTCCCATCACTATTGAAGAGGAAACATATGTTTGAAGAATGCACCAGATATTTTCTAGTAAAAGCAAGAACCATTTTTCCAAGGTGAAAGAAATTCAAGGCAGTTAAAATGAGCTCCACCTCCACAAGCTGTAACATTTAAATACCACCTACACACCAGTAATAAAATTCAAATAATATGATGTAATGGTGATTATGTCACACTATGAAAGGTGCCATTCTGCCCAGTGATTACTTTTACATTTAATACCTAGGATACTTTACTGCATCCTAGTTTTGCATGCTTCAGTATATTGAAACATGCAAGAGGAAGTTTTTTTCCTTACAGTTATACTGACAATATCAATGTATGCTATTTGGGATATTCATAAAAAAAATGTAAAAGTTAGAGAAGGATATGGTAACATGTTAAGAGAATAATCTCTAAAGGTCTTATAAAACATTTATATGTGAAATCATGTTTCATTGATTGTGTTTTGTCCAGGACAGTGACCTGAGGGATCAGAACATTTCCATAAAGGTCTACTGTCAAGTTTATATTCTTTTATTTTAATTTGTCATTTCAATTATTAATTATCTTTCAAACTCACTTTAACTCTTGTATTTGACATGACTGACTGATGTAATACATATTGCACATTTCATAGTGGATATAAATGTGATTACTGGGAAGATCGCACCAGCATCTACTTGAATGAATGTTTTCATAATTATGTTATTTATTCTTAACCATAAAACTAAGAGCAAAATTAGTTTTAGTCTAAGGGGTTTTATACTGTATAAATCCCCCCCCCCCCCCCCCCCCCCACTGTCTGAAGACATTTTTGACAAGCCATCAAATAAATCTAATTAACTAATTTTCATTTTAACTGATTTAACTGTTTAGTTATATTTTCTAAAACTCTTATCAAGCTAAAAGCTGTTACGAATCCTTCTCTGAACTGCCAGATTCAACTCCTTCTTTTCCAAAATAAATATCTGCAATATTGACTTATTTCATCTTTCACATCAGTGGAGCCAACGTGGACTCTTGCACCGGAGGTTGGAAAGGCCTGCTTTCTCACATAAAGGAATAAAGCAAATGAAGAAATGGACACACATCTTTTACTGGTTTCATCATATTAATCTGAAATATTTTCATGAGTCAGTTATATACAATGTAAGATCCAAAAGAAAAACATAGTGGCAAAGCTCAGTTAGCAAAGTCGGAATTGTACAATGATAAGTATAACCATTATTAATATCATGTACAAGCTCGTAGGTTAGAAGGGGTTCATTCCAAGTGTATGTGAAGACCGATGTAATCTCAATTGTAGCTGTACTTCCTGGAGGGATCAACGAGGCAACTGTTCCATGCCACAACATACACAGCCCCTCTCCACTGGTGTCTCCTCAACCATTTTCCAAATGGTCATATGTTACAGTAATGTCAAATATTCTTCATAGCTCTTCCTTTAAAAATAGTCAAATATATATATTGCGCCAGTCCAGGAACATGTGAAAACGCCTCTGATAAATAATCTGCATCATTTCAGTGACAGGGAGTTTATTCCTCTAGCCGCTGCTGCTGCTGCTTCTTTTGCTGTAAGAAGAAAGTAAAAGATACACACCATCAGCTTGACACACCACATGCACATGTACTGTACACAGTGGTAGTATGGAGGCTGGCTGCCGTTTCACTTCCCTGTTTAGAGGGGCAGATCAGGAACTGGTCTCATTCTGCGACTGTCCATTCATTAAACCCTTTAGTTACTGCTTTGCCAGTTTCCCACTCTGGTGCGGCACATGTGCAAAAATTCTTAGTAATTTCTGAAACAATTGGTCCTTGATTTTAGACTGTTGGATTTACGCTTTATTGTTTTTACTGTCAAGGAGGATGTTTCAGTTTTGGGATGAGGACTAACCAGTCTGACAGTGTGACATTAACTCAGAGTCTACACTTCCCCATACCCAACAGAGCATGAAAGGAGCTGTTCACTCACTCAGGCCGTTACCTCGCAAAATAATGTAGCATGTTATACCACTTGGCTTTGGGATTAATGCCTGGTTACAGCTGCAGCATGCTAACATTTGCAGCTTTCGTTAGAACAGACAAACCCACTGTTTCATCCATTCCTTGCACATCTGTTATTGTAGTTTTGAAAAGTGGTTAAAAACAAGAGATTACCCACCGAGTATCTCCCTTACAACAACCCCATGTACAATGCTTCAACATGTGGAGAGATGCCAAGATTGACAGGCCTGCCGTTCATAGTTACGGTTGCTAAGGTATGATTGGAAAATCAGTGTTCAGGGGAGGGGTTTAGCGAGCTGTCAATCGAAAAACTATTGCTCTATTAACAGGGGAAGGTTTATAATGAGGCAGGTGTGACAGACACACAACAGCCCAGATTCTAGTCTCTAAAAATAATAAATAAAGTCATTTTTATATAATGTTGACTGCTTCAGCTGCTCTGTGACTTATTTTGGATGCAAGACAAGACAACAGGTGTCAACAGGCCAGGTGACCTGCCCTACTTTTCTACAGAGTACTGCAGTTTCGCCAATATTATGAAAGAGAATTTCACCATCAGGGTTCAGCTTAGGTCACTCATTGTTTACTGCATGTTGATAATTAAATGCTTTGCCCAACTCTAGGCGCGTACCTTTTTTCTCTTCTTCTTTCTTTCTTGCCGCATCTTCTCTCTGTTTCCTGATGATGGCGAGGCGGGCGAGGTCAGCTTTGGCCTGGTCCGTCTTCCCGGCCAAGTGCATCTTCATGTAACGCTCCTTCGCTTTCTGCTTCTCGATCTCTTCTCTGTGGGCGCGTGTCAAGGTGGAGATAGTGACATAAAGTTACTTTAAAACATTTTTGACTGGAATAACAGAAAGTTAATTTAAAAAAAACCCCATCTCATTAGCCTTTTAGTTATAGTCATGTGTGTATGACGCTGTGCTGACATTGTCCTCTATAGCATTGTCATGCTAATTTCTAAATTATAAGTTAAAATCACTTTCTTGTGCAGTTTTACCCTGCAGTGAATATGCAGACTGACGGACACACACCTCTCTCTCCGTGATAACTGCTTGGGCTCGTCCAGCTCAATTTGCGTCACCTTCTTGGACTTCTGAGCCACTCTGTTGGGGTTTTCGATTTCTATCAAGCCCTCCACACCCGCTCTCCTCCTCTGTGAACACATCACAACAGCTCACACAGTGTAAAGAGAACGCTTTGAATAGAGAATATACTGAAATAACTACATGACAACGTTGGTTAGAAACTGCCATGTAGAAAAAAAACTGAGATACAAGGAGCTTCACAGATGCATATTAAATATTATACAATACTAATTACAATTGAATTATTACTGCAGTGCATGTTAAGAACTGTGTGTGTGGTACCAGAGAGGAAGTGACAGTATTAGTGTGGTGTTACCTGGGAATTTTCATCATCGCTGTCCTCTGATCCTGAGCCTGGTAACTTCTCCTCTGCCAGGTCATTCTGAGCTGCACCCTCCTCCCCCTCTGCTTCCTGCTCTTGCTATAACACACAAATGACAGCCAAGCAGGTAAACCACAAATAGGAGAACATTACCCAACATATGTAACACATGCAGTTACAACACCTATGCATGCACGCTTTCCACTGTGTTCACCAAATTAAATCTAAGACTTTTTAAGAATGTTTCAGTGCCGCACAGCAGACAATTCATCACCTGTGTCACAGTCATACCATTCAAAGAATGACAAACAAAAATTAACAATAACAGCTGCAATTATTTCTTTTATTATTATTAATTATTTATTACCCCTGGGCCTGAGACACTGTATGAATTAAATGTTAATATTTAAACTATCACAGAGACACACAACTATGACAAAGAGACTCAGACTGATTACAAGTTTTGTGTCCCTCAGTCTGTGGGTCCTATAAAGGAGAGTAGGCGCCTTTTTCGCTTGTCTATTCCGAGGGGAAAAATGCTGCATGGATTCACAAATTAAAATAGAATAAATTATTAGTTTGTTAATTTAAGATTTTGCCAAAATCTAGACTACAGTTGATGACACTCCTAGAAACTGCATCCCTGACAGCCAAAAGTTATAACTAATGTTACTGTCTACAGCAAGCAAGAAAATAAATAAATTAAAAAAAAAAAAATAATAATAATAATAATAAATATTTAAAACTACTGAATACAATGTTTTCAAAGACTTTTCAGGACCTGCCATTGACCTGGGTGGAGAGCTAATGGGTGCCAACAGCGGCTGTAGTGCTTTGGGACTAGGGGATCTCCAGCACTGTTAAACTTCCAGATCAGTTTACTCTTTCCAGTCAAGAGATCCTTCTGAATTGCATTATGGGAAGTGTAGTATCCAGCATTTTTAAAGCTTGACCAGTACTTAAGTGAAATCCTGCACATATTTGGGCATCGTGTGGCACACGATTGAACAGCCTCTAGTTGTTTACTAGACCAACCTTTTTCCTCTCCTTCTCCGCCTTCATCTGAGCGTCTATCTCTTCGGGACTGGTGTAAGTCCGCACGCGACCCTTGTGGCCACCTTTCTTACCTGCAGCGATGACCACGATGACAAATGACATGAACAGACAGGTGTCAAAAGTGGCAGAGCGGGTTATAAAAACGCTGTCAGTGTATGTTTAATGACAGATATGTAAGTTAGGACACGATCCTTGTTCTACATGAGTAAATCTCCTGGATCGTAAG